ACTTCATCTGTTTTCTCTTTGTTTTTCTAAACCAGCTGCAGCTCAAGTTGCTGGCCCATTTGTTACAGTCGAAGAAGCAGATGACTCGACACATTGCACTAGTTAGTTAATTTGAACATCTATTCTTATCAAAAATAATGAATAGATAATGAAATAGACTTAGCGATTTTTTTAATAGATTTCATTAAGTTGATATTTGGTTGATAAATTTTGCAGAACCAAAGACTCATACAAATAAAAAACCTTCTAATTGTAATGAAGTCCATCAGCAGGAGAATCCACATATTGTAATGAACACAGATGCAGTAGAAGATTTTGAACCAGTTCTTCCGGTCCAAGAAGCAGATGTCTCAACACATTGGAATGGTTATTAAAGTTGAACCGGTAATCTTAACATAATGTTGAATTCATTTGTGATTATTTTAGACTGCTGCAAAACCGGTTATTCTATAGAATTTTTTTCCATATATGCATTTTTTGAATCTCATCTAATTATTATTGTTTTTACACACCTGTCATCATTTATTAAGTTGAATATGAATTATATTACATACAAATGTATGATGTTCTTCCATTGAACAAGTATTTCACAAAATTCAATTTGATTAACCAACCACAATGTTGTGTCAATCAGATGATGGTCGTGAAGTTGTAATTAGATCAAGACGGAAGAGAGCAAAAACAAATATAGATACATTTAGTGGTGTAGTCACGAAAGATATCATATCTGAAAATGTATCTGGGATTGGTAAGTTATAGCTAAATACGATCGAGATAACATTTACTATTTATAAATGTGCATTTTATATTGAAGTGAACTTATTGACCGTACAATGCAGTGGCAATGGAACATGAAAGAAGTCCTTCAATGTGTACAAGAAGCAAACAACGTCAATATGGGACAGTAGATGAAGTTTGCAATACGGATAAAGAAACTAGAAATATAGGTGAAAATTTGTTAATAAATGATGTGATATTGTTTCATTATTAGAGTATATAAACTCACTTGACATATGCATTGCGACACTAACATCTTTATTGTTTGGTTTATAACATTTGCATTAGGACAAAACCGGCGAAAGAGTATTGCATCAGATGAAACAAAGGCCGGGGGAAAGATGAAACGAATAAAAGTAAGGAAAGACTAGAAGAATCTGATTCAAGCGAAGGAAATAAATGTGGATTCGAGAATTTGAGAACAAGGACGTCTCCACGAACTTTATATCAAACAATCATTGGTTTAAACGATGCCCAAAAGAATGTGGTTAAACAAATGGGGCTTGGCTCTTTATTAGAAATGACAATTAATGGAGTGCCATAGAAGCTTGGTTTTTATGTTGTCGACAACCTTGACGTGAAGAAGATGGAATTAAAGGTTGTGAATGGTGGAATACCAATCACAATTGAATCAATTCATAAATTGTTGGGTTTGAGAATGGGAGGAGTTGATATTCTGGAGATGGATGAAGTGGAGGATTCAAAGAATATGACAACTACCTGGAGGAAACAGTTTGATAAGAAAAAGATGCGGCCGAAAGACATTATGAAGATAATGCAAAGTTCAAGAGATGCAGGGTTTAACTTCAAACTCAATTTCCTTGTTCTATTCGTGAATTTGATGGTTGAATGCAATAGGATGGGATGCTGCAATTTTGGGTTCCTCTCTAGAATAGAAAGTGAGGACGTAATTCCAGGCATAGATTGGTGTAAGTATATCTATGGGAAGATAAAAACAAGCAAGTCAAGATGGAGAAGGGATAGTAGAATGTGCTTCTATGCTGGACCATTGACATACCTCGCTGTAACTTTTTCTCTATATATAAAATTACAAAAAAGCTTTACATAACAAGCCAAATATTTCATTTGCAGTTGTTATATGTGGAAGCGACGATAAGTCCAAAAGTTGTGGTGGAGCACAAGGGCCATGCAATCTCAGCATGGAACCTTGATTTGTTAAAGAAAAGACAATCAACAGAAATTAAAGACGGAGGCTTTGGGCTATTACCTATACGATCTAATGCTGAATCAAGTGAAGATGTTCATCACCGTTACGCTTCAAATCAAGAGAATATCGGTGAAACATCAACACCGAAAAATCTGAGCAAAGAGGTTCGATTTAAACATCTTTATTTTCATGAAACTGCTTATTATCGTGTACATTCGACCGAAAGTCAAGCTTAAATCCGAAGAAGACAATTCGGATCTATTAGTACATGTACTTGAATTGCATCGAGTTCAATTATTAAAAAGCATGTGCTTGTGTTGCACCGAATCTAGTGCACATATTAACTTAGGCACACAGCTTATAAAGGGTTTGATTTATTGAATCATGTTTCATTTAACACACGCTGATGAATCTGGCTTCATCAGTTATCAACAGTATATAAGACTTATTACTTTAAGTTATGCTCTTTCTAATACATTTAAATGTCAACAAATGCAGGATCATGTTCAACGGATACTTGTTAAGATCGCTGTTGTTTTAAGTGCAAGAGTRGAGGCTGAGATGGAGATTAAAGAAGCGATGTCCAAGTTTCCAGAAGAAGAAGAATTCAAGCAATACAAGAAACAGCTGGATGACATGTTCAATGAAGGAGCATGTAACATGACACATGACACTCATTCCAGTGGATTGAAGGATCATTCAACTGCAAAAAGTGATAGACATCCTTCATTGGATATTGTTGTAAGTCAGCCTAGTGGGTTCAATGAAAAAACACTGCCCACGGTTTGGTTAAGCCCTGGTTTCATTGAAGCAGTTGATAAAGTAGTTGAAAATACTATATCAACGTCAAAGACGAAAAGACCATATGCAGCCATTACTCCTCCAAAGTTTGATTTGGGTATTATTCCAATCACGCAATCGAAACCTTTGTCAATGGTATTCCATGAAGAGGCTGAATGTATAGAAAGATGTCCTTCGGTTGAAAGATATAATGTATCCGAAGATGCAAAGAAATATAAAGTGGAGAGAGCGTCAAGACGTGAACTAAAGTTGGGTGACCATCTTAGGTCCCCTTTTGTTATCAGAGCAGTTGAACTGAACGTGACACCAGAAGAAAGAAAAATCCATGAATGGGTAGTGGCTGGTCTTGGAGGAAAGTAGTAAGTTTATTATTATATGAAAATTTCTTTGTTGCATTATTACCACCATGAAATCCGGCTTCATATTTTATTTATAATTTTGACGGTTTTAAATGCAGCGAGTTGTTGTTTTCAACACCAAACGATACGAAGCTACATCGTCATGCAGTTGAAAGCTTGGGGCGTACAACTACGATTAACGTAAGTGTGATAGACGCATGGGCGGCATTGCTTAACTACGAGGAACGGTATTGGAACAGAGATTCCTTGCGTCGTTATTTTTTTAACACGGAGGTTATGGTACATGAGAAGGAAATTATTTTAAATATCATTTATTTCCTTGACTAACGGCTTAATTAATATAAACCATAAATGCATCATTGCTTATGACAGGGAGACTCTAAGTTAATATCTAAGAACGTCAATCATAATACCCAATACGCCCTTTTCAACAAGGGTTTGTTATCTTCTGCAAAAAACAACTGGGAAGTAGTACAAATGCGTAACGTAGACCTGGTATGTTTTTCAATTTCAGATTGTTTTCGCTATATTTTTCTACCATATTCTATATGCACTTTTAAAGGGTTTGCCTTTAATGAACCTAAATGCACAGCATGTTACATGCTGTTTTATATGCACAGTAACAACAATGTAACATGTTGTTAATGAACAGTAACAATAACAACAATAGTAACATTAACAGTAACAGCGCTGTAACATTTAACAACACAGTAACAGTAACAGCACATCAACATCAATGTAACAGAAATAGCGCATTAACAACACATTAACAACACATTAACAGCTATGTAACATTGACATCGCTGTAACATTTAGCAGCACAGTAACAACAAATGTCACAGTAACAGCAATGTAACTCGGTGAAACAGGTGATGAATTTGCTGAAACATGTTTCATTAACATAATGTTACATCAAGTTTTATATGCACAGTAACATGCTTTGAATGAACCTAAATGCACTGTTACTTGTTGTGTGAGATGATGTTAAGGAACATATAATGAATCTCATATCACTTACACATGTTGTTAATGAAACTCTATGTTAATTCACTGTAACATACTGATTTTTATGCAATGTAACATTCTATTTATGAACCTAAAAACTTGATGAAATGATAGGTATTCTTCCCATTACTGGATAAGGGACACTATTATATTGTGGTGTTCAATCTGAAGAACCCATCGGTTGTTGTCATAGACAACATATATCAAGAGGTGTCCGATGATGATCAACATCTACAGATGTATGACTTCATTATAGACATTCTGGTATGAATAAAATATTGATGTATAATTGTATTCTTTATTAATATGATATACGATGTGTTAACCATTTCATTCCGTTTGTGCAGCAAATATTGATGATCATGCATTTGAATGCGGTTGGATATCCAGTGGGGAGAGAACTAGATGAAATAGGACAAGAAAGGTTGAGGATGGATTGGCAGACACAAAACAACTTCGATGATTGTGGCGTGTTTGCAATGAGACACATGGAGACGTACATGGGAGATGTGTGAACATGGAAAACTGGCCTGGCACAAGAAGGAAAAACACAAGAGATCCAAATAGCCTCCCTCAGAATGAAATATGTATCAAAATTATTGGTGAGCAACTACAAACAGAAGAAGCAATATGTCGTTAATGAAGTTGAGAAGTTTCAATCAATGGATGAAGCCATCCGAAAAAGGTTAAGAAAACATGCTGACGATACAAAGACTGAGAGACTTCGAATCTGATTGATTGATGTTCTTTTATATTTTTCTCATGTAGACGGTTTTAATAACTTGCTATTGGTATTGAATTTACTAGTTTGTTTAAACATTATGCTATTGGCATGTTCGACGTTATGAAATGTACATGACATTTGATGAAAATATTTTGCCAACACATTGTCATATGAATGGTGAACCCAGATTAGCACACCTGTTAATTAAACTTGTTTATTTAGTAATAATGCTAACCATATAGATTCAGAATCTTGAATAGTATATTCAAATAAGCACTTTGTTCAAATACACAAAAAGGTAAAAATGGTATATGAAACTTGATTCATACTGAATATATAATGCAAACCATATCCATCAAAAAATACATGATTATTGCATATTCACAATCTATTATTGAAGCATCATTAACACATTTTGATGAACCCATATTAATTAGATCTGTATGTACCCACATAACTTTTTCAAACTACACAAAAGGGTAAAATGAATTCATACCCAACTAGATCAAAAGTTTCTTGATGCATGTATAAATAATGAAAAACATAATGATCAATATTCGGTGAGTATAACATGCGGTGATACCAGATTGACAATAAGAATAATATGTATCCATTCTTATCAGAATCATATATACGAACTTAGCTTTTTACACATACTTCAACCAGTAAAATGAAAGCATATTCAACTTTATTAAAAATCAGAGATTCACTAATAATTTAATGAAACCAGTTTATAAAATGTAGTATATTTAACTAAAACACAATAGTATAATCCTATAATGTGTTGAACCCTGTAATATCACCAAGAATTAAAAGG